AACAACCAACCATATACCGAGCAGACACAACATACATCTCTGGAGAATGCAAAGGCTGTGGATGCAGGAAAGAGAACATAAGAAAGGAACGAAGCAGAGGTATTTCAATAAATTATCACTTACTTGCAGTGTTTGTGAGGCCCGCTGAGTGTCTCGATGACAAAGCATTCGCCACCATTTAGGCAGTAGGCCAAGTCCTTCTCATGGCAGGGCTTGAAATGCTCCGAGTGTAGCGGAGGGACAGTTGGAGATGCTGCAGAACAAACAAAGAAAATCTTGTCAGTCACAAGCACGGTGTCCTTCCTTCACCCTGTAGGGAGTTTTTCAAAAGCTCAGTCTTTACCCAATTAAAACAAGAATAAGCTAAGTTTACTAAAATACCTGTGTACACGTAGAGAGGACCTCATTTTCACTCGCCGTGTCTTCAAATAAATCATGGTTTTATCTTAAACGACAGTAGAAAATACCAGAATTGTTTGGCGCCAGCCAAGGATGCATAAGAACAGTTTGTCTGTGCCTACAGACAAACTCGACGCACGTTGTGGATAATACCAACATGCGATTGTTTGTTTAGACCCTGCGATGTCACAAGCAAAAGATGGATGGAGGACAGGTAATAATCTGTCCCTTTATGATTAATACTCTATAGTTGCAGTAATGCTGTTGGAGAACATCAATTCTTCCAGTGATTTATCACAACTTGCGTGAGTGATTGTGCGTAGTACACAAATCTAAGGGAATCTGCTCGATGTATATTAATAAATGACCTAATAATTGAAATTCACCAGCTGGGCCGACGTCCTCATCTTAGGTTTGACAGCGTTTTAGTAGGTAAAAGTGATGCTTTGACATGAATCGAGCTGCGGTTTGGGGAAGGCCTCGAAGGGGACTGGCGATGGCTCCCGTGCACTACATAGAAATGAAGACGTTAAAGAATTGAGAGCAAGAGAGGGAGGGTGGGGCACGTAAACGAGAATGAACAGCTTGCAGAACAGGGGGAACCTATATAGATGACAACCGGAAGGAGCGTGTTTGGAGGCGTGGTCCTGCTCCTGAAATTCCGATACATAGTCTCCAATTAATAACCAACAGTTTCCCAAGAGACAGAAAAATGCACGATTAATGAAATAATGGTGTTATGGGCATTTTATTGCTGGTTGAGGATAAGATAAGAAAATGTTGAGATTTCACAGTGTTCATGGCCGTCATCCATCAGCATTGATTAGAAAGCCTGTGATGGAGCCGATCAAGCTTTCAGATGCAGGGAGAAATCTGATCTGCAGCACAGATGATGTTCTTATTAATACCAGACTGGGCTCCTGACTCTTTCCTTTGTGCTTACAAATGAAAAATGAGTCTGCTAAGGGCTCTCATTAGCAGAATCCCAGCTATGTTGTTCTTAGAGTAGCTAGATGAACTGTGATGAACCAGAACACTATGCTTCAGTGATTAAAATCAGTTTTACATAGAGGATGCTGTTACTTCCACAATAGTACTGATCACTGTATTAGGTTGTTCTTTAATGATGTGTGGAAGATACATCCAAGTGAACTGAAGATTTTTCAATCAAGAAATGAGGAGAGGGGAGGACTGTGGAGGTGAGTTAGAGGTGAGTTATTTTTGTATGGGCTCAGATCCCTTCATCAGCAGTATGAGGCACCACAGGATTGAGTGGTGGGTTGGCTTCTGAGACGCTAGGTGCTGATCAGACCCCAGGGATATTCTGCAACCGCTGATAATTAGCAGATGAGAGACTGGTTTAAAGTTAGTAGTTGAACCGGGAACTAAGGAAGGGGTAA